GATGATTACCTAATCATCGTTAAACTTTACAAAAGTAGTGAACAGTTAAATTTACATTTATGATTGCCACTGTCAAACTGCCATTGTCATTATTGCTTACTGAGTCGAAGAGTTAAATAACTATGAAATATCACTAACATAGTACAATGATATCTTTTTTATTATATTTCTTACTCTGAACTTTGTTGTGTCCAACAATAACCCAAACCTAACGACTGATAGTATTTCCTGTATATTTTTGATAAACTTAATATGTGTCGAAAATGTTGAAATCTTGTTCATTTTCTATAAAAGAACTGTTAAACCACAAAGGAATGTTAAGCTCGTGAGAGACAAGTAATTTCCTTATACAAAATAGTAGTGAAGTAAAAGTAATTTCGTAACGGTCAATAATAGATTTGTACAGATGTATAATTAATAATGAAACCCGTTAAAGTTATAACTTCATAGGTGTTAGCAGTAAAATTACTGACCGTTTCTTATAAAACCCGATCGTATATTTAATTAGCACAGTGTTCGACTCACCCCGATTCTAAGCGCTAACGTTAACAGAATATTTGCATTGTATGTAACAATACAACTGGGTTAAAAGCTTAGTGCTGTTCCGCAGACTTGGATAAGGATAATCGAGAATAACGCGTTCTTAGAGCGTGCACTAGGTGTGCCTTGCGTATTGCGATCAACATTTGATTCTACGTTAAATGTGTACACACAACATAATATTATATTTATTTGAGTTAATCATGATATACAAAGGTGTTACATATGTTTTAGAGCACACACATGCATTTATTTATAAATTTTGCAGCTAAATTTAATTATAAGTTATGATCCTTTTTAGTGATGATAAAGATTGGTAAGCCGATTACATAAAGGTCGTATTTACCTATTAATATAAATCCTATTTTTAAGATATTTTAGAGGTCGAGCTTTCCTTACATACTTTCAGAATCTGTTTTAAGAGACTAGGCTGTACTAGCTCCTACTAGGCGAGAATAGGGTATATTAAATATAATGCAACAATAAGATAAATTGTATTGTAGAGCCAATTTATGAAGCCAGAGGGTACAATAATACTGTCTAGTTTTATTGATTCCTTGTAGGTAATGCGTAATCGCATTACCTACAAGGAATCAATAAAACTGGCAAGCTATTACCCCGAGAGCTTACGTACAACGTAAACATAATAATATCTATATTTTTATTAATTATAAAGTCGCCGTTCGGTTTAAGTTGAATCTTTCTAACATTATCATTTACAAATTGTCTAATAACGTTTAGTCGAAATTTCGATTGTGTTACTTTAATTGTCAATGATATTTCCAGGCCAAAATTTTGCAAGTAGCTCACTGATGTTAAAAAGAATTTATTATAATGCATACTTGTTACATTTCGAGAATCAGTCGCCAAAACCTTGACCTTATGTGTCTTAGTATTATGCACCGGATGCTACAGAGTGGAATGCTACATTCAAGCAACATTGGTGCATTACTTGTATATGGGTTTGGGCTACTTTATGAACGTGACTCACTAATATTACAAGCAACATAGTTATAATTGCAGTTACGAGCAAGATTAATGATCTCTACCGGGACAATGAAGCGTACGAACTAAAGATAACAAAGTACCATCGCAAGTGTTTGGTGCTCAGATAAATAGTTTAATAAAAAGACACATTCAGTGAATTGTAGGCAGAGAGATTGAAGATGTGGATGAACTTTCTTTAGACAACTCCATCTTAACTGTATGAAAAGAATCACTGTGTTCCCACGCGACAATATCAATACCGTTATAGTTACAGTAGAAAATATATATTATTTCGTATAAATTATAAAAAGGAATTCTTTGCATACATTTTATAAGATCTTTAAAAATTAAAGTAAATTCTAAAAGATAAATGAAACGTTTTTAAGGCAAAATGTGAAAAGACAGTGATGATTTGATACTTTTCAGCAATATTATTTTAACTGTAGTTATGAACAAGATGGATGATTTCAGCTGGAACAGCGAAGCGTCCGTACTAAAGATAATAAAATACCATCTACAGTGCTCGATTCATAGATAAATATTATAAACAAACGAAAAGTGAATTGTTTGTGGAGAGTCTGAAGACTGAGGTAAAGAAGGAAAAAGAGTTACAAGTGTTACAAGGATATTGTTGAGTATGTTCGTCATATGCGTCAAATGAAAAAAAAACTAGTTTCCGTAAATTAAAAATAAATAAATATTTAGGAAATGTTTTCAAACCGTCTTATTCGTATATAACATCATTAACATTGACAATTGACATTGAGAAAGTGACAATTTGCTGTTTAACAATTGCACATGGGTATATTTATAAAATATGACCTTGTATTATGCAGTCGCAACAAACGAGTTGGTACGCATCATAAAATTTTATTATCTACAATATTGTAACAAAATACAAGTTCGGCTATACTCCATATGATGTCACTATGTAAAATAACCTTTGTATACAGCTCTGCCAACATAATTTGCGATGGTACTCGTATTCCGCGTTTATGATGGTCGACCTTTTGTCCGGGAAATGAGTCAAACAGAGGCGAGTTATTTATAGACTTTTTCGAAATCCGAAAAATATTGCTTAAGCGTAAACTTAGGGCTAGATCAAATTTGCTAAGTTTTATTTAATAAAAATATACCTACATAACAGTGGAATAATACAACAATTATATCAAACGGCTACGTTATTGACGTGAGGTACTCAGATGAAAGATTGCCATGTTTTGTTTGTAGTTTCATCTCCCCTCGGCACATCGAGAGTTGTTCTAAACCACGCAGACGGAAGGTATTGTGTGGGAAGAAGCGTATGGAGTGTTTAAATCGACTCATTTGAGCCACCGCTGAGTAATTGTCTGTGCTTCCTTTTTACATTGTACACTTTATCATTTCTAATTTCACAGGGAGCGTATTATGTAAGATCAATTACTTGAATCCAAAAGATCAATGTAAATAAGTGCCAGTTTAATACAACAAAATCTACAGCCTAAATGTTTTCATACTTCGACTTTACAACCTGTCTTACATTAGAACCCAGTATTTTTTTTTTATTTCATTAGGTGTCATGTTGGCAAGTACATAATGACATCGTTTGGTCACGCTCTGTGCCCACGCAACAAAAGTTCACCGTTAGTTCGAATCGATATTAGGTATTTAGAAAAATAGAACTAAAAATGGTAGTAAAATTAAATAGCTTCGTACAAAGAGTCAATTTTAAGCAGTATCGGTAATTAAGCACTAGATATCACCAAGGTTGCTCATTCCGGTATTATCAAGATTTTTTTTAGATGTTGTAAGTAAAGTTGAAAGTAGTCAATAAATGCAATAAACCGTGATCTAACAATTTCTTTTTTAGAAAAGTAACATTCTGGAACTAAAAAACGGGTCGTTTTCAGATTTATACAACATGACGTGTACCATGTCAACCTTAATTTGAACTTATTAAAATACTTAGCTGCATTAGAACGTAACTAACTATGATTTAGAACACCGTTAAAATTAGAAAATATTTTTCGGCCATGGTCAACCGCTTGCATTTAAAACCTTCTCGTCGATTTAAGCTAGACCATTATTTTTAATACTGAGGAGCTTTAGGAGCAAAGACGTGCAAGATTAAACATTATGTCACTCCCGATTTTTTTTTTCTGTGCGGAAATCCCCTCGGATACCACTTACCGGTGGCAATTTTGTCCTTTTATCCTTATCCTACATCTAGCAATATTTAGAATTTATTAAGTACATGTTGTCTGTATTACCGGCAAAATAATACTCAACTTTGGTAAGGTAAAATCAAAAATACCAGCAAAAAATTCTAAAACGAAGTTTGTGTCATAACCTCATCTCCTGTATCAATATTTAGCTTGGGGCAACATGATTCAACTCGAGCGATATGCTTCACGTAACTTTGTGAGGAAAATTGAGTTTATAAGCGATCGAAACATTACCGCAACCTTCTTTGATAGCATTACCCTACATAAATATATGCCATCGTGTTCTCATTTGTTTATGGATAAGAAGATTTTTTTTACATTATGTTATAACATATTTAATAGGAAGTCCAAAATGCAATAAATAAAAGAATACGACTGCTCTTGTATCTTGAATGTACATCAAGATAAAGTTTGGGGTCGGAAGGGCAATTTATTACTAGAGGGTCGTACGGATGTGATGGTATTCTCGACATTAGGTTTCAAAAATCTCAACGTAACGAAAAACAAGACAAAATACTTTTTGTATATTTTTTGGTTTTTGGCACATGCAGTTTGACATGACTTTTAAAATTTATTCAACATTCGTAATTTCGGAATTATAAAAAACATGCGTTTTGAAAACAAAGACGCAAGTTCTGTAAATAGATTTTTTTTTTTTTTTTTAAAAGACAACTCCCGCATTAGGAATATATCCTGTGTCGCGGGGGACTTTACAAACATACATGAAACGGACACAAAGAACACCCAGACTCAGAACAACAATTTGTGGATCACACAAAGTGTCGTCCCATGTGGGGTTTGAACCCACAACACTCGGCGTAGTAGGAAGCGGCGTGGCGACCGCTTAAACCACTACGCCATTCGTGCAGTCATGCGTGCAGAATTTTAACGGTCTTTTAGTCAGCTTTCCTTTTTTAACGCCAATCTTTTCTTTTTACTAATTTTGATTAAACTACTATTAAACCATGCTCAAGCATACTAACTCGAAATAATTTTGAATTTGATATGCCGATTAGATTAGTTACATTTCAAAGTAGTAATAAATATATTACATGAATTTAGTACTAGGATACTTAAGTATATTTAAGGTTAAACAATTATTATAAAATACATATCTCGTATTCAGAAATAGATAACCGGTATTCAAAGAACATTCAAGGCGCTTTTATTACTAATTCATTGTCGGTCGGTTGGTCATATAGTTGTATTTAATGCAGTTAATAGAATTATTCTATAACATAGTCAGCAACTATTTTTCTTTTGTTGCAGTGTAAAAATGAAGAAGATCAGAAATTATGAAAGTGGCTGGTGGGTGGTGTTACTGACGGCAACTTTAGCTGTTTCAGCGCTGGCAGAGACCGGAGTAGGACTATACAATGCGAAATTAAAGCAAGTTATCACTTCGAGCACACTAAAATGGACTAATCTAAAGAAAGAATCTATGAACAATTACGTGATCGGGGCAGATTCTGAACAAGGTCAGTCATTATAAGAAGTAAGAATTGAAAATTTCTTTACCAAAGTCGATTTGATGTAAATAACACCCTTTTGTTTCAGGGCCCATATACCTTTGCAAAGCACGACATGAAGGCGACATGATATTAGGTCAACTTAAGCCAGATTACACAACTTGCGCAGTTTCTGGTGCTAAGAGTTACACCATGTTCGAGGTGCTGGAAAACATTGAAAATGCTTCCTTGATAACCTGGACGCCTTGGCTTAGGTTTCATGCTAAACCTAATGGCGCTGTAGTCGTAGAATCGTCAGTAGATTCAGTTTTCATAGGACGTGTAAAAGCACAAAGCGGATATTCACATTACATTGGGCGAATAGCTTATGAAAGTACAATTGGAAATTTAATCACATTTGACGACAAAAATAACGAAATGATAGAAAATCATGGAGAAATTTTGAAAGAGATTGAACCTATAAGTTATAAATTAGAGAATGTAGTTCTAGATCGGGACACTGAACACATACGGCAAACAGAACCAGAAGTGTTTGAAGAGAGAATTCTTAAAAATGAAGATGAAATTGCGGCTACTGACACCACTGAAATAGAGTATGTGTTTAACTACACCTTGTCTTGGGGTCATGGACATGGAATAGCCATTGGTTTAAATACATCAATAGAAATGGATGACGGCACACTGTTCCCTCAAATACAATGGGCTAACCAATATACCGAAAGCAGAAAGAAGCTGTACAAGCTGGAAAAATTTTTGGAACCTGGTACTGCTTGTAACGTAATATTCAGGGGCAACATAACAAATCGCGATGTGCAGTATACTGCTAAGTTGGTAACCTTCTATAAAGATAACGAGCCAAGATCGAGGCTAATGAGAGGGCAGCGTATTGAAAATACGTTGGAAGTAGAGGCAATTTATGGCGAAATTTATTTCATTGGAAATAATAGCTTGGTGCCAACAACGACGACTACAACTACCACTACTACCACCACTACGACTACGACGACTCCGATACCAGAGATACCACCACCGGCCCTTGAGGGAAATGATGTTGCAGCCATGAAAAAATCCGATCAAAATGAACAGATGGATGACAATCTGATAAACGACAGTGGTGAAAGCATGAATAAAGGTACGGTGGCGAAAGAAGATATTAAAAAGTCCGTTGCTGGTGGGCTCGGTAGCAAACCATCTAGTGCCGCAAATATCAGGATTGTTACATTTACCTTATTTATTCCGGCACTACTTATAGTTTAAATGACAAACAATCTTTGTAAATATCCAGAAAATATCACTAAAGTTATAGTTGCTTGGTAGTTTATACATGTATTTACGTTTTCGCAAAGGAGCTTGATGCTGTTGTTTATAGATCGAGGCGTAAAATAAGCCTATTTCCCTCGGTAACATTATGTAAATAAAATATTTTTGTTTTCTTAACATTCCTGTTATGTGATTTCATTCCAATATGTAAATTGAGGAGCCAAAATTAATCGCATAACTGTAAATAGTTATATGTGTAAATAGTTACTGCTATGGAAGCTGCAGAGCGGCTGGAGTAAAGTGTCTTTACATCTAATGACAATGGGAGACATCATAGATAGGGATAATGATACGGAGGAAGTAAGACGCTGTTACCAATGACACTGTTAGAAACACAAATAATATGTACCTTGCATCAAAACAGATAACTCACGATTGTGATATTCAGTTATAATTGAAAATTCTAAATCAACTTATAAAAGACATACGTTACCTTCAGTATATGAAATGTACAAAAACAGAAAGAAAAAGATCTCTATTCTTTTTATAATAATTGTCATTTCACAGTTGTTTTTCATGAAGGCTAAAGCCACTTAGTTTTTTAAGATATTGTTAATTCGCCGTAAACAGTTTTGTATAAAGTTCTACTTAGTTAATTTATTTTTATCACGTTCCGTTACCTAATACCATACATACGCTGTGCTGTCTTAGTTCGATGTTTTATTATAAACCTTTTAATTGTAGTGTTATAATTATTATTAATTACCAACTATTTTTTAGGATAACTTATTGTTATGCTTCAAGTTCAGCATCAGTATTTAGGAAACTATAAAAGATCTTTTTCGTTTGGTAAGTTTTATTATGACGCGCTATTTCAGTTTTGTAATAGACGTAGACGCACAGATTTTGTTTTGCGCACTAAATACAACCATTGTTTGGTACCTCTATATCTTTTATATTTTCTTGTTTCAATTGTTACTAATAATTTGAAGTTACAAGAGTTTAAAATCCAGAATTAAGCGATATTACTAATTTGAGCGTTTTGCTTTTATTCTTAAATAATTTATTTTGTTTTATTATACATAGAACATTTAATAGAATGGTGATTTTACATAAGTTTAGAACACTGGGGTGTTACTAATGAATTACTATATGTATTAATTATTATGACTTTGTTATCTGTACCAAAGTTATACTTTGTAAGTTTGACTACATGTAAATGTTTTCGCCAATAACCCATTAAAATAACATCCCTCCGTGAAATGGACTCTACTTGTTAGTGTTTAGACTCAAATAGCCTCTAATAGTTTTGGAATCGTTTGGTAGTAGTATGCTTAACGGACTTTTGTCAATGTGTAAAGAAAATGAATGATATTTTTGTATGACTTGAAATCGATTGTAAGTGTTTGCCTTAATTGTAAGTGATCTTCAGCTTCAGATTTCCTTTTCACATTTTGTTTCGAACTCGGTATTCCCTCTTGTGGTATACTAACTTAGTTTTAGTTTAGTGGCAATAGTATATACCTTATTTAAAGTATAATTTTATTGAATCAACGTCCCACCTAGCGTACCATTATTGATTAAGACTAAAATATTATAAAAAGTATATAATTATTTATTGGTCATTCTCAGCTTTCTTGGCTTCAGAATATTGTCGTCGCAATTAGATGTTAGAACTATTGCAAAATACTAAGGTAAAAAATACCTGAGACACGAATGCAAAATTTACTTATTAAATTTGATGCCTATATGTTCAACGTCTAATACATTAGAAAATCGCTTGTATTACCCGTTAGGTAGAAAATCTATTCCATAATGTTAAGGCATGTTCTATTGTTGTACCTATATTTGTAATTGAAATAGACCCTGATAATTGGGCAGATATTATCAATGAATCTCATGACATCAACATTGTTTTGCGAAGCATAATTGTGATGTTCCATGTAAGTTTACTTTGTTTAAATTCATTAAAGTGTAACTAAAATATCATGTCGTTTTAATTCTAACCGGCAAAGATCGAGAATATGAAAAAGGTGAACATGGTAAATAGAAGACTCAACATGGAAACTATTTTTTACGAATCGTTTCGAACTACATTACAAAGTACATAAGCAAATATAACTAAATAAACGTTCTTAATGTAAGACGTGTTTTGAGTCGCAGTCGTGACCAGTTGCTTATATTTAGAAAGAATGATCTAAGTTGACCATGCAGTTACTACTTAGCCACACCTGTATGCAAATAGAGTAAGGTATGACTTCACATGTTTTCGTAAGCTATAATAATATAGATTTCTATGACCATCAATGTCTGCTGTGATGCAACTATATAAGTGACTGCGTTCATTGCTGAACTCATTTTAGTATTAATCTATACATATAAAATTACTTGCCCTGACTGAGTGACTCATCAACGCAGAGTTAGCATTGTTAGCACCCACTAATAAAGGATTTTTTTCAATTTTAAGCTTAAGGGTACAATAAGGGATGAACGACTGAATGGATTGAGTGATATCGTAATTTTCAAAGTTAGAAACACGAAATAAGAAATAATCACGAGAGTAAAGCCGTGCAAAGCAATAGCCCGTTGCTAAAATATTATACGGTCTCAAATGTCGTTTAGGAAAGTCACAAATTAAACGTTGAAAGTAACATAGACTCATGTTGAAAAAAATACGGTCTCAAATGTCATTTGGGATAGTCACAAATTAAACGTTGAAAGTAATATAGACTTATGTTGAAAGCAAATTAGTTAGAACTAATCACGCGAGTAAAGCCTCGGGCAATAGCTATTACCTATACAGTCTCAAATATCATTTGGGATAGTCACAAATTAAACGTCAAAAGTAACATAGATATATTATGTTGAAAACAAATTAGTTTGCAAAGTTGAAAAAGCTTTTTAGCACAACTTGAATATCGATATATCTACATCTATACAAGAAGTTTTATAAACTCGAAATTAGTGTAGTATATAAAATTATGTTAAATAAATAAATGTCGCTATTTTCATTAGAAGTCAAGTCACTACAAAAGTAAATTTGATATTCCATTACATGTGAACCTAATTATGTTACTTTTGTTTAAAATTGGCTTTTTTAAAGCTTGTATACCTGAATTGAGAACATTACAGGATTTGTAGACGCATTAATTTGAGACGGCTCGACAATAGCCTGGGGGAAGACGGCGCCTGTGAGTCTCATTGTATTTGACTTAACGGAGCGTAAAGGAATTACGTACGGATTCACTGGTGCAATTTTAGGTTTCAGTCTGTTTTTTAAGCAATTGGAAATTTCATTCTTAGATTGTACCGAAGGCATTTCTAGATCGTATCTATACCTCAAATGTAAACAAGAACTACGGTAATAAGCCATATTCTTATTTGCCATATAAAAAACCCTAAGATTGTACAAACATAATAAACACGCACCTTACCCTATTTAGCAAAAAACAAAAATTTACTTGTATTAGTAAGTTTTCAAAAAGAATGAGTAATAACCTAAGTACGTACTTTCATTTAGAAGAAAGGGCGTCTGATGAAGGGAATGAAGATCTGTTACTTATCATTACAAAGAAAGATATGTGTGATAGGAGTACAGGAAAATGGTACTGTAATAATGACAACTTGTATGGAATTAAGTATTGTACTAATAACTAACTACTAGGGCGTTCCTATAGATTGTTTTCACACTGAAAAAGATCTGTGGCATTTAAAACCTAAAATCTTTTGAGAAACAATGAAGTTAACTTCGATCAATGATATATCTAGATAGACTGTTCAAGTTGTAAAGGCGTCGAAAAAAATAGTGGCCAACTGTTGGCCACTAGCCACTGTGCATACATATGTATGTACTAGTGAATAACGTTTTCTGAGCGTTTCGCAAGCTTAAAACGCTATCTAGCATAAAAAGTTAGTCCGTTTTATTTTAGTTGTTTGTGTAGTCCATCGGCGCTCCAAATTAATGACATAAGGAATACATATAACATAGGTATATACCAGTTATCTTCAGTGTCGCGAAGAGTTAGATAAAAATAGATTTATTAGGTGCAGCGCTTATAACCATCCAAGTAACAACCAGTACCCACACATTGCACTTTGGCACAGGAAACATTCATCACACTTGGCAAGAAGCATTAGTAATAAGAAACATCGTAACATAGGTGAGGAAATTAATTCTTTCAGAAGACTGGCATGTTACATAATAATTTACGTGTATGAAGATTTTTAAATGTAATAAGGAGCGCGTAGAGGAGCTCGTAGGTATATGTAGTACATAAATGCTGAAGTAACATTGACATTATCGTAAAAAATATATTCGTCTTCTACCCTTGTGATTCTGAACTTCGAAACCTTTCCCCATACAACCTTTCCCTAGCCCCTATAGCCTTAATAAGGGCTGGGGAGGGCTTTCACTCAATAAATAACGTATGAAGAGCATCACAACTAGTTCAGTTCTCAAGCTTTACCGTGAAATGAAAATGTAATATGGTGATTATCAGATTGGTAGTTTTTGTGAAATGCGATATATTTAATGGTATAGGGTGCATTCAAGCAGACAGGTCACTTGATGGTAAGTGACTATCGATTTAAATGTACTAAGATATCAGACCTCCACAACCACTCCATAAAGAACTCCACAACACAACAACGAAGTTTTGTAATAAGACTGTTGTCGGACTTTTTAGGGCTCCAACTACCCGTAACGATTGCCACAGATGTTCGTATGGCAACCGGGACCGACGGCTTAACGCGCTCTCCGAGACACGGAGGGGTCTCAATGTGTTAAGAAATGGTCACCCATCCATAGACTGACCTGGCTAGGATTCCTTAACTTTGCAATGTGTTAACCTATTCAGTTACTAGGTAGCCACGAGCCCCTCCTTTCATACACAATGGTTTTATTATATTATTTAAATAGTATAAATAATAAAACCATTGTGTATAAAAGATCTTCTGTCCATTATCACTGTGGACAGATGTGTGCGTTTGCTATGAAA